CTTCATTCAATTTCCTGTGATTTATTTTAATCAAACTTTTGCACTCAAAAAACACCCTATATATAGTTGGTAAACCACTCTCGACTTTATGGTTTATAATTTATGACATTTTTGCAGTTAACTCGTTGTGCTAGTTCGGAAGCAACAGCAAACAAGCGGCTGCAAAATGCAGGGAATAACGGCAACTTGTATGCATTTTTATTGTCTTCTTGTTTGTCTGCTTCACTTGGATTTTACTCAAGTATTTACATTTAGGTTTGCATGAATTTTAATTCTACTCACTCGATGAAGGCGCCTGACTTTCACAATTGTTTATGAATTTCACATATTTTTAGCACCACACGTATATTTGTTTGTGTATTGATCTTAAAGAAATTTTATTACATTACAGAATGTAATATTTTGCAGCATAAATAATTTTGAAATTAAATTCTTTGCATGATTATTATTTCTTATTCATTACGTAACAATGAATAATTATTTGAAAATTTTTGAAACTATGGCTATGTAATTTTGATTTTATTATTTTTTAATAAATATATAACATCATTAATAAATAATTTGTATGAGAAAGAAAGGATGCAGACATAAATTGTCGTTGTCTTATTTTTAATTTAATTAACTACTTATTTTACTTGCTTACTTCTTACATCTATATGTACTCGTACATATATATAAAATAAAGTCGTGTTAGTTACACTATTTGCAACTCAAGAACGGCTGAACCAATTTGACTGAAAATTGGTAGGGAGGTAGCTTAGGATACTTTTTTATTTTTCTTTATTAAAAGTCAAAACATGTAAGTATCATTTTAATATTTTATTACTTTAAAACAATAAAATAGCAGCACACGGTTACCGCCAGAGTACAGTAATTTTGGTATACATATATGGATCATACTGATTTTTGTTACGGTTTTTTCTTGGACATATCATGTGGAACCGGCAAAATATTTATAATATCACAACAGAAAACAGCATTGGCAGTTGCATCGCCAGGCATTGCGGCAAATCAAAAAGATGACAGGAAATATAATTGAAGCAATCACTATGACCGAAAAATTTAATGGAGATATGGTCCTGTTGCCACGTATTCCTACAGTTCCCCATTGCAGAATGAGAAAACCATCGAATCTATTTGAGCTCAGCAAAGAATAATATTCAACTAAAAATATAATTGTTACAAATTAAGAATGATCTACTTTAACTACCTCATTAATTATCTTAAATCCCGAATGAACTCAAAAACGAGTCAACTGATATTCAAGAAAGTTGGCATATATATGTAATTTGGTCCAACTTAAATGATAGGATAGTTATTATTTAAATGAATGGCCTCAGTAATTAGTAATTAATAATAAACTTATCATCAACGTTGATTGTTGTTATATATGTATAAAAGAGAAAGTTTGTACATACGTATGCTGCTAATAAACTCCGAAACGGCTGAACCGATTTCAATTAAATTTTTCGGAGGAGCTTCCGGTTGGCCAGCGAGGGCCTGTAAGGTTTGGTGGCGATCGGAAAAAAAAATTATTTTTGAATGTCAATGACATTTTCTTTTACTGCTGATATGTTATTGTTTTTATTACACAATTCTGTTGACACGTCGTGTATATTTATGTTATTTAATTAAACATATTGGAATATAATGAAGTATAATGAATGCTATTGAAGTATAAACAATTTGACCATGTAATTTAACTAAAATTATTGCGAAGAGTGAGTAATTAATTAGCAGTATTTTTCCAGACAAACAAAATATAATGATTACTTAAATTAAAACTGGCTGTGTAATCGGGCTATATTGACAGCAAAAAATGCTGAAATTAGTTTCGATAATAATAATTTCACTATATTAAACAGCTTACTCAAATATAATTTAATTATACCTTAGCCACAGCAAGGCGTGGCCTGGGTCTTCTTGTATATACATATATATGTTTATTATAAAGTTGTTGATCTTATGTTGATTTGTGCTTAATAGCAACTCATAGAAAAATTGTATCAAACATTTACATATTTCGATGTATTGTTTTAACACAGAAAAATCTTGAAAAATCTTTTTATGCCGCCTATAACGTTTTCGTCTTTGTTTATAAATACCATTTTACAGTATTGAATAGTTTATAATGATATAATTTAAGGGGTGCCTAGTGTGAAATTTAAAATTTAAAATTTATATCTCAAATAGTTTTTGAGTTACTGCCCATTTAAAGAGTACCCGCTCAGTTCAGTCCGGTCCACTAGTTAATTTTTAAACGCAGTAGAAAAATAGCTCTATCCATACATTATGTAATCCAATTTTTATTGCGAAATGTCAAGATCTAATTGAAATGAATTGCACATGAAAAATAAATGCATACAAATATACGTACTCTCAATCTGAACCAAAATATTATAATAAATTCAAAAGAAAAGTAAGGTGTACCCGATTTATTAATCAGAAATCGTAGTCAGTGAACATTTGACATTTTTTGGAAAAAAACATACATATTTTATTTGTTCCAGGACAGCGCAAAACGAGTTTTATTAATACAATTTAATTACGTTATTTTATTTTATTTGATTGGCAGTTTACGTTAGACATGTATAGACATAAATTTATATATATATATATATATATATACATATGTAATAATTAACTTAAATTACAAAAATGAATTTGCTTTAGACTATAAGTAGCACATACAAAAAAAAAAGGGTGTTGAGTGGATGAAATACGAAAAAGTAAATGTAATTAAAAGCATTTAATTATAACAAGTAAGGAAAGGTTAAAATCGGGAGTAACCAAACATTTTATACTCTCGCAAATTGCAAGGATCACATTCAACAATAATTTTTCGACGAAATCGTGATGGGATTACAAACAAATTTGATATCATATTAACTTATATTAAAGGCCATGTACTCATTTCGGTTTATTATTATATTTTACTTCGGGTGAGCTAAAATTATATTAAAATCATTCACAAATGTGATATATGTGATGGAAACTCAACCGACTAAACATGCTAAATTTAATACTTGGAGTTGATATGAAAAACGTTAACCAGAAGATCGAAATTCATTGTATTAGTGATATGAGATTAAGACCAAAGTCTAGATCAACTTAATTAATATTGAACGCTAAATCTAGTTCTTGATTGGTAGAAAGTAAAAAAAAATCGGATGGAATGCAAGTTTGTGATAAGTTGGAAGTAAGCGTGGTTGCAGTCCGATTTCACCCAATTGCGCACTGTACACACAGTGAATGTCAGGATAATGTTACCCACCGAACTTGGCTGAAATTGATAGAGTAAGTCCGGAGATAGATAATGAGATGCGTTTTACCGAATAAAAATTTGCGACTTAGTTATGGCATTTTATAGGATTTGGATCAGTGGTGTTTCTAAAACCGATTAAGCACACCTACGAACTCGTCCTCCCGATTGTTAACTCATTTTAATAATTTTGAATTCCCTTAATCACGTAGCCGATCTCCAGTAGAAACTTCAAAAAAAGGTTTCTGGCAATTAGGGAGGGTTTCCAAAAATATGTAGGTAATGATGGAAGGACGGACGAATAAATCTAAGAAGGTCATGTGAAAAGTTGAAGTCGCTCAGTTCAGCCATTTTGGAGTAATTTTCCTCACCGATTCTGAAAACAGGGTTTCGCGAAAAGGGCTTTAATAGTTTTAGGAGCCAATTACACTAAGTTTCAAAATTCTTACAAACACGCTCATACCTGCGTAACGATAGACCGAATCAACTTCAAATTTTTTAAAATATTCTCAAATAATTATGTATTCATATGTACATATATGCAAAAACCAAAATCGAGTTTGGAAAATTACAAGTGGACATAGCCTTTTAATATAAACACTGATTATATTATTTTCACTTTCCTTGCTGAGTGCTAGAATAATGATGATATGTGGCTCTTATCATATGGCTGTCTAACTTACCATATTTTCAAAGAAAACTGAAAGTAAACTGATATACATAGCTAGAAAAATGGTATTTTTCATTCACTTGCATAGAAAAAACCAAACAACAACAAATTGTGCATGTTATATATAAATTGGAGAAACTAATTTTTTAAATGACAGAAACGAAGAAAAGGTTTTTTTAATTGCAATTCTAGTATTCACTAAAAACATAGCTCATATGCTATAATAAATATTGATGTTTATCTGCAAACCTCTTTTCGAAATTCGAAGGCACATATTTCGATTTTGGAAGCTAGCCTCGAAAAACGGTGAATTACTATTTTAACTACAAGCATAACTCAGTTTATCGAAAATTTATTTTTTTACTTAATACGCAGAAAAAAGTTATAAATTGGATATTCGAAGTGTATTATTGTTAATGGTCGAACTCAACTATTAGTAATTTGACACTCATTTGCAACTAAAAAACAAAGAACACAAGTTACTCATACGCCATGGCACACATATTTTGAAATTACCCATGCAAATCGCTGGAGATACTTTACTAAAAGATTTAATTTTTTTTGTAGCATTCCAGTCCATAATTTACACACTTCTATTAAGCTAACCCTCCCGCCCCACTTGAAGTTCTCTGCTAGCTGCAGATTACACCGCCACGTGAATGCAAGTTACTTATACGCCATGGCAGTTAAACTAATTATTCGAACAAAGCATTAAAGTAAAATGTATTCTTTCCTGTCGTTGCCAAGTTATTTGACAGACATTTGGACGTTTGCTTTCCAGCTATTTCCGGTGTAGGAAAACAAAATTAGGGGCGCTTTTGGTAGGTTGGAGTTTTAACAGCAAAAATATTTCTTTCTGGTACGCTATTTCTCATAAAAAATCATTCAATTCATTTTGCATAGCTCTTCACTTATATAGGCTTCGAATCTCCTACTAAAATTTTCAACTTTGATTTCTGTTACAAAATTCACTTTGAAAACTCATAACGTCGCCGCTACCACATTTTTTAAGCACAGAAAATAAAATATTCCTACAATAAAATGCACAATTCTATGCATACACTTTACCATATTTCACGCTAAAAACATGCAAATGGCATTTTAAAGGCAGCACAATGCAATCGAAGCGCAACCTGTGCCAAAGTTAAGCCTTCACACCAACACAATGCCATTCTCCAGGCGGCACCGCAGTTGGAAGCGTTGCTTCAAGCGATTCGAACGAATTACACAAACACTTTTCTGTAAACTTATATACAAGTATATCACAAATATGCAAACGTGTGTCTGTGCCTGATTTGCTCACTTATTTACATTGTCAAAGAAAGGCGCGCATTCGAGACGTGCAGTTCACTAATCGACAGCGCGACGCCAAACGCAAAGAGACCGACAACGCAATGACTCGCCAAAATTATTAAGCTTCTACGCACAAGCCACTCACGACAAAAACTTACACTTGCAACGGACAGAAGTGCAAAAAAAATCCAGTAATCAGCAACAATTTATTGTCGATTAGAGGCGGCGTACGCGTGTATCTGCATGAGGAACGGCTAATCGCGTTTTGGCTGCCAACAGCTGGCGCTGAATGCATCTGCATCCGTCAGTGGTCCGTGGCGAACTGAGTCCACAGCAACCAGCGTTGGCAGTTTTATCAATGAGCGCGGATTGCCGCCAACGAAGCTGACTGACTGATGCGCCGGAAATGCACACATACACACCCACACGCACAATCGCTTACCACATGTGTTTGTTGTTGTTGTATTGGTAGCATTAACGTCATCATGCTCTGCTTACTTCACAAAACTCATTATGATGTTTACAACGACGCACACACACACACACAATTGTAGGATACGCATGTGTTTGTTAAGATGCTACCATCATATGCTTGAACAAACGCTCTCTGTCATCACTTCATTCATTGTTATCATAGATGTAATGGAATTTGGCGCACTGAGCACAATGTTGCAAAAGAGAGCGCAAAATACAATGTTGCCAATTTGTTTCGAAAATTCGTACACCAGTTCCAAAATCTGGTAAGCTAAGTTCTTTGTTTTTGAATATAAATCGTCGTTAGATTCCATAACATACGTTTGCTTTTTGAAAATTTTTTCCATGCCTACAGAGTTGGTGTACAAATTTAAACAAGAACTTTTGAGATATACATTTTATTTGAGAGGCCTGATGAAACTAATAATAAAGGAACACAATATTTTAAGTAATCATTTTGAAGAGTTTTTAACGGGTTATAACAGCTTGAAATTTTAACCCTATTAAATGTACATGTAAAAGATCAGCATGACGAGCTGAGCCCGCCCGTCTGTCAGTATATACGAGAACTGGTCTCTCAGTTTTTGAGATATCGGTCCGAAATTTTCCCACGTTCTTTTCTCTCTAAGAAGCTGCTAATTGGTCGGAACCGAAATCGGACTACTATAGCGTATATCTAGCATACAAATTGAACGATCAAAATTAAGTTTTTGTATGGAAACTTCTTTATTCTATAATATTTATAATAACCAATAAAAATTCATTGTGACAGTAGAGGCATACAGATAGAGGTTAAAGGAAGACTCAACATTTTTATTTTTAACAAAATGGAAGCTTTCCAAAAAAACAGTTTATTTTCTGAAAAAATTTACATTGCAGAGTGGCTTAAAAAAATCGAAATTATAATAAAAATCATAAAATCTTTACGAATATGTTTAAGAAGATTGTGTGACATTTTCAAGTCGATCGGTCCAGCCGTTTCGTAGACCGGATCTGAAAACAGCGTTTCGCGAAAAACGCGTTTAAGATTTGGCCGATTACACTAAATTAAATAATTCTCAGCAATATCGTCAAAACTATTTGAGGAACCAACTTTAAATTATTTTTATTTTCAAATAGAACACAGTCAAATGAGGCCAAAAATAAAAATAAAAAAGTGTTAAAACTATTTCTTAAAAGAACGATAAAATAAATGGCGAATTCATGTTTAGATTATCCCGATCTTACGTTCTACGAAAAAAGAGAGAAAAGAGACAAAAAAACAAGCGGACTGTGCGGTGAACAGAGCTTAAAATTTGGTTCTCATAAGAAAAGTAAATTTTAATATTTAATTAAAGTTAAAGTTAAAGTTAAGTTATATTATTAAACTCAACCGCCACTTGTTGCCCCTTTCTGTGTTATTGTGGTGTTTCTACATAGCGGTTTGGTTTTGTCTTGCTTATATGTGCGCATGTTTATAATTCCAGATTTGACTCCAATACAGCTACCAACTGAAAATTCTATATCGATCATATTCTTCTACTTACTATGGTGGATGCCAAAGTCAGCAATGCCTTAACTGTAGCCTCATCTGCAAAGTATTACATAGGCTAAGCCTAAGCTACTGAGATAAATGATATACACAAATGCTTACAAAAAACAGATCAAAGAAATCACTATGAATTCGGATTGTCTCCATTACATGCCTACATTCAATTTTTTGAATATTTTCTTCACGTTTCTTATAGACTTGAATTCAAACAATGGCAAATAAGGGGCTTAGAAGAAAAAGAACGATTTTCTAAAAAGGAAACAAAATATTCAGGGCGAGTTTTGTAAAAAAAAATGGATTGCATTGTCAACAAACCAAAAACAGATGGTAGTGGATCTTCATATGATGGGAGCACTGCAAGAAAATTTTTTCAATGATGCCCGATTATCAGCTGAAATAACTAGCTTTGAAAAACAGCTACATAGTTGAAAATTTTGCAACTTTACTGCACGTCTTATCATCAGGGTTCAAAGTTAATGTGGACATATTTAGAAAAAATACCCTAGATACTGCTAGAAGTAACAACCAAGTATTTCTGGTATTATCTTCCTCCTTCAGCGCAAAAAATTTTGATTTACGTTCCCGTTGTCATTTAATATGTATTAGTTTCAATTGGAGAACCCTCTGAAGAAGCTGATTAGTCAATAAATAGGGACGGCAACATACACGAAATAACTCACGGGTCGCAAGTAGGACCTGTTTAACGGCTTACTTTTGAGCTCAGATCCTCTGATAACTGCCCAAAGAAAATTATAATACCTTGCAAAAAACAAGTCGATTCTATTAAAATCAATTCATCAGTTATTTGAATAATATTAGAACTTATTTGTATATTTATTTACATCAACTATTTTAAATAAGTTTAAATTCGTTATCATTACAATTATTTCTCCAACATTTTGTTACTTTAATTAAATAATAAATAAAAGCAAAGCAAAATATTTTGAGTTTTTTACAAAATATTTTTCAATGGGCGAGAGTCGGTGTGGGTAGTCGGATGGGAGTTTGAAAATTTGGATGGCATATTATTTTTTATTAGTTATTATAATTATATAAAACTAAGAAAAAAATTTCACGTCGATATATGTTAGGCAATCGAAGTATTTATAGAAGCTGCTCATTCAAAATCAAGTTCTTGTATGGAAAAAACTTTTTAATTTTGTTTTTTGCCTTTTTTTACCTTCTGAATATTATTAACCATAAGAAATTACTTATGAAAAATATCAAAATGGTTAGTGTTATTTTTCAGTTAATTAAAACAAACTAAAATTGCGCAAATTTCTCCTTACTTTATAAAAAAAACTTTAGAAAGTTTATAAAACTATGTGGTTTATGGAGATTCGAAAAACCCTAACCACAATTTCTCAACTTTTTGTTAATATTATATTCTTACAAACTAAAGATGCATGCACCTTCATCAAATGATGTTCTGTAGAATTATGTTATTCGTAATCACTAAATGAATTTAACAACGTTAGATATATTGTGGCATACGGCGGTTATGTGGAGTGGGTGTGTGGGTTTTCAAATCCAGTGAAATAAGTTGGAATTAGATCAAAAACGTGTTTTTGCTTCAGTGCATTTCCGTTATATTTCTGGTTTAAATCTTCTTTCCAACAGAATTCTTATAGTATATTTATAAGTCTACCCACATTCACTACTCCCAGAGAAATGCGTTTTCAAATTCAATGACATAAATCCGTAGGTAAATGTGAGTTAATACGATTAATTTTAGCAAGCACTTACTCTTCGGAGAGTATAGACATATGCGTATGTATTTTGTATACATATGTACATTAGGGTGGGTAAACAAAAACCGAAAGTTTTCTTTTCCTTCGTACTCTGAAAAACTTATTGATAGACACATCTAAGAAAAACTCTCCAAGTATGAGCTCTTAATTATAGCGAGAAGGTCCTACGACAAATGGTTTTCTATTTTTTCCTTATTATCAGATATCATAAATTGCTTCCTTGAAAAGCAAAAAGAAATGGAACGAAAACTGCCCCTAGGTACTGAATATGTGGACTCTAGTGCCTATAGTTGACTTTTCACCGAAAATATCGGTCAACATAGAACAAGGCGGAAAGATCCACAAAGAAATCTAAAACGAGTATACTATTTGACCTTGTGAGAGTGTAAAATGTTCGGTTACATCCGAAATTAGCCCTTCCTTATTTCTTTAAAACTACATTTATTTTTTTTTTGAATTTTATAACTCAATAAAAAAACATCATTTTAAATTGCAAAGCTCATAATCTTCTATCAAATTTAGTGCTTTACAAAAATTTTCTCTTTATTGTTGTTTTTGATATTGTTTTGTGTTTTGTTTGACGATGAATATCTCGTAAACGCTTAACTTATTCGAAAAATGATTGAGACCATCAAAACCACAGCAAGCATATTATTGAATGCTAATACTTCACTAGAACTGCCATAAGCAGCTGTTCATCACGCCGAGACTCGGTTAGTAAAACACAAATGCGAGGTTACTCATACGCCCCTCCATCCACAAACTCAAACAAAGTTCATATGTCAGGTTTGAGTCAACACTTAATTTTATGTGTGTATGTTTATTTAAATTAAAGCGTTTAACGATTGATTTTTTGGATAATTATTTTAAAGACCCACAACAACAACAAAACCACATAAATGCAAGCCATAAATACAACAAACCGGTTATGGCAGTCAAACAAAACGGGCGCTCAAGCCACATGCCGCTTTAAATGAGAATAAGATGCCGCCTGTGAATTGCAGCTTTGTGAATTGCAAATTGCCGCTTCCGTCTTTAGTTGGTCGTTCGCAATTTCTTTTTGTTTTTGTATTTTAATTAAGTAAGCCGCTTTACTATAAACACAAATCGATTGCCGCGAGTCAGCGAAATTTTAAGCTATCGCTTGCAACACACACACACGCACACATACTTGAGGTGTTTTCGTAGACCGTCGCGAGTTTTGTTTGGCTGCCGGCAGCTGACGCTTGATGCGTCTGCATCGGTCGAAAGTCCGTAACGAACTGAGTCCACAGCAGCAAACGATGGCAGTTTTATCAATGATTACCGTTGTGAGTGATGCTCTTGTTGTTGTTGTTGTTTAAGGTAATAAAGTTCCATCGAAAGCGGGGGATATGCATTATGATGTTTACATGTGCACACAAAGAGTGGCGTCAAAGAATTATTTTGCTTACCGAACCCAACAAAGATACTCATAGTCCTTTTTCGCGCCAAACATTGATTTTGCTCTGCCGGTTTTTGTTTGGATGCTGCGCACTTTGCTGAAAGAGAGAAAATGAGAGGCAGTGTTGTCATCCCTGCTGAATTTTTTCCCAACAAATGGCAATATTTTTGCAGTTTGTGTTATTAGCATGCTTCTGCACAGGATGTATATATATACATATATATTTTTTGTTAATAATAAGAGGTCCCAAGTAATGTTTCCTTCAATTCAACATTTTATGAAATTTTATAGTAAACTTTAAATTCAGATATATAAAGTTATATATAATTTCGCCCTTTAGCAGGA